TAATACCGGTCTACCGCCAACAATTAGCATAGAAAATTACTCTTGACAAGGGGGTTTTCCGTACAGCAGGAGGCAAGTTACCCGTGCCAGCAAAGAAAATCGGCCAGTGGATGGCATCCAGAAACCGGGACTTGGGGTACTTCTTGCGCAAGGCAAAGGTAATGATAGGGAGCAGTGCTCCGATCCAGAAAAAGTGCAGCAGACCGGAATAAATCTTTCCGATATTGTATAGCCTGGTAGGTCCAATAGCTGTATCATCGTCAGTGGAATACCGCGCAAGCCAAAGGAAGCGACAGAGTGGCCATACCTCCCCATAGAACGGCACTGTTGTAGTTGACCCGACCCTGCGGACAGGTAAAGTTGTCCGCTTGGTCCTCCGAGCACACGTCTTGCACATTTCCAAGCATCCAGAGCAGGACCCCGTCTGTCCAAGTCAGCGGTCGCAGCCAAAACACGAATATACGGTTTTCACTCACTCTGCGTCAAAGTTCCCAAAATGCAGGCAACCAGCTGGGCAACGAATAGTGTTCGCCGTGGGATCTTCATATACATTCCAAGCTAGAAATATGCCTCAGCAGGGAGACTTCTCAAATGCGTTCGCACAATCAACCGACCTTCATGTCTGCGCCGTAATACATGGCTTGGCTCAGCCCAGTGTACGCATAAAACTATCATTTGTCAATTACGACTTCGCAGATGAGATGTCCTGACCTGAGACCTCACCTTGAATATCAGAAGAACGAGCGGTTTCCCTTTCAGCAGATAGCCGGATACAATCTCTCCCAGAACGGTCAGACAGTTACTGTTAAGGTTTGCCACAGCATATACTGTTCCAACTGGGATCACATAAATCGCTGCCAGAGCCAACGTGATGAACAAGCCCCAGAACGGAAGCCCCGTATGCCAGACATACTGCGTCATGATCGCAAGAGCAACGATAATAACCTTTACTGTCAGCTTGTTCGAATCAGAGGGAGGTAAGGCTTACAGTCAAGGCACCGTACCACCACCATGGTACATCAGGGTACTGGGAAAGTAGCCTGGCATGGATATCCTTTTTGTTCTCTCCCCGGAAAGTCTGAATGATATCTTTCGTATGATAAAGAAGCACGTGCGTGATCAAACACGTCAGGACTGCAAAACCTACGCCGTAACTCAAGGAGAAGGTCACAGGCAGGAAAAGGGGGCTATACGCTTTGTACTTGTCCTCATCAAAGACTCCTTCGCTGTTCAGGATACGACTCGAGTCGTAAATACCTCCCGTATTGCCATATGCATCAGAGCTCGTGAGAGGGAGATACGCTGTATACCACGTGTTGGTATAGTAAAGGATTGGGGCCGCCACGGCGTATATCAGAAACCAACCCGCAAAGACATTGGCCTGCGCCCAGTACGGGATGGTCAAGGGAGATGTGTTATACGCAATCTGGCTCCAATCAAATGTCGTGGGCATATATCCTAGACCCGTGGTCATACCGAAGAGATTGTTGACGACCTTATTGTCTAGATATCATGTTAGTTCGGAGCCCTTCTTTCGAGTCAGGATATATCCCAACATACTAGGAGCTGCCCAGCAAATGAAGGCAAAGGTACTCAGTCCAGTAAAAATATATCCAGGAAACCAATACCAGCAGAAACTTCCAATGCAGACAATAAGGAAGAACCGGTATCGCGAGATTTTCCAGCCGTCGGCGATTGGGTTCGCTCCACTGTGCAGTGTTTGAAAGAGGGCTGCGTTTGCCAGTGTCGAAGGCCAAATCTGAGCGGATCTGGTTAGTGTAGATCTTCCCAGAGTTTGTCCTCCCCACACTTACCATTTGAGGCGGCTCAATGATGTATCTGTATGACAGCCCAGCAAGCCCAAGACCAAACAACTGCATCGACAGCGATAGCAAGATCTGATACCCTACAGGTGTTGACATCTTGAGATACACCTTTTGTGCCTGGATAATCGCACTTGCCTACCACATATGTCAGTGTCTCCTACCCACTCTGGCCACTCTGTGACTTGAGACAACTCACCCAAGATTGGTTGAAACTGAGGTTAGACATGATCGTGATCACCGCATGCTCTTTAATATTGAAGTGGTGGTCCGGATTTATGTTCAAGTCCCAGCGCCCAAACAAGCGTACCTTCATGATAGGCAGGGCTTTGGCAAAGAAACACCCCACGGGGTAACTAAGCAGCTGCGCTACCAATGAAGTAATTGTCACACTAGGATATCGCATAGAGAAGAATTGATTGACGCCTGTACCAAGCTTTGAATAGAGTCAGTGTGCTAGATACAATTATATGTCTCTTGGGTACCTACAAGGGTGAAGACAACCCCCAAAAACCACATCCGAAATGTGTTAACTGGTAACGTAGGGTCATCGGTGTTTGGAACATTGGCTCGCACTTCCAGGTATGGAGAGTTGTCCGAGTCGATAGTAAATTCAACATTGCTGCTGTCGCCAAGGGCAATGTCTAGGGCATCTGCACTGGCCACGGGCTTCTTGGAAATGCCGTCGTCGCGCAATGTAGGGTCCCCCGCATATTCCTCAACGTCTGCATCGTGGGAGGTCTCTGTCCTATAGCGAGTCATGACACTGCTATCAGGCACTCAAAGGTTGCCGGGTCCCTTGAAGAATGAATTTTGAAAGGGTTTTAGAGACTGTTCCCGATGCCACTGGGAAGTGGCCATTCTTCCCTTTTATAACGGGATACTGCCGGCTTGGCTTCTTCCGGCATCTCATATCAACGGACTTTCATGTCGCTGTGAAGATAGGGCCCGAGGGCAGCGATGAGATAGAGTATACAGTGTACGGTAGGCTTATCCCCGTAGGACATCCTGCCTGGGTGCAGAGGCAAGAGACTAAGAACTTGGAGAAGTGAAGAAGTAGATATGCGGCAACGCCTGCTATTGGACCCATGACAAGCTCAAAGCAAGCCACAAGACGATTGTACGGGTGGGAAATAATAAGGTAAGGTCCAAGCGAACGAATAGCCGGTATGCATCTAGTGGCTAACACTTTGTTGCGACCAGCCCAAAGTCTGGTCATGCTGGTGCTATCTCGCATTTAGGCTAATGCAGCCCTCTGTTCCATCCGCCAGTATCTAGCATAATTTCGTGGCGATGATTCGACATGCCAACTACCGGCGGGGAGGGGGCTCTCGGTCTTGCTCCGCACACACTTCGGATTGGTTGGCCGACGTCGGCGGAGTGGCGGGCCATTCAAGCACGCAAAGATAAAGCTAGGATTGGAGTTTGAGCTTCGGTGGGCCAGGATAAGACGCGTTGGACAGTGCACGCGGGGGGAGAATTTGTGTTTATCGGTCCCATAGGGTAACCGGGCGGTCGCTACCGCTCGATAAACACCGCGTGGACCTTCCTGCCTATCGGTGGGTAAGACAAGCCCGACATCTGATGATTCATTGCCCTGGTCGTCGCCATTGTAGTACTGTAGTATAAATGCCACGTCTCGTATAATCTTCATAGGATCCTCTTATCCCGTCAACGAGTTGCTTCACTTGGAAAGCTGTGCAGGTCAAGAGCCATCCAATTGGTGCGGCATAGCGATCTCTTTTTCAACCCCTCCAGCATCGTTGACCGCGCCCAAAATACATCGCAATGGCAATCACCAAATCTTCCTCCATTTTGATTGTTGGTGCGGGCACCTGGGGCTGCTCTACTGCCCTACACCTGGCTCGCAGAGGCTACACCAATGTGACTGTCCTGGATCCTTACCCTGTCCCCTCCGCTATTTCTGCAGGAAACGACGTCAACAAAGTCATTTCTTCCGGCCAATACAGCAACAGAAAAGATGAGATTGAGGTGAACGAGCTTCTGGGAGAACAAGCGTTCCAAGGATGGAAAAACGACCCTCTCTTCCAGCCCTACTACCACGATGTCGGCCTCCTCATGTCGGCGTGCACATCAGCTGGCCTGGACCGCCTTGGTGTCCGAGTAAGGCCCGAAGCCGACCCGAATTTGGTGGAGATGTCGCGGCCAGAACAATTCCGTGATCTTGCTCCTGCTGTGCTCAAGGGAGATTTCCCTGGGTGGAAGGGTTACTTTCTTCGCTCCGGTGCCGGCTGGGCTCATGCCCGGAATGCTCTCGTCGCTGCCGCCAGGGAAGCACAGAGACTTGGTGTCAAGTTCATTGCTGGTTCGCCGGCAGGCAGAGTCATCACCCTTATTTTCGAGAACAATGATGTGAAGGGTGCCGTTACTGCTGATGGCAAAATCTGGCGTGCGGAGCAGACGATCCTGTGTGCTGGTGCAAGTGCCGGGCAGTTCTTGGACTTCAAGGACCAGCTGCGCCCAACTGCTTGGACGCTTGTACATATCGCTCTGAAGCCTGAGGAGCGCGCACAATACAAGAACATGCCCGTCATCTTCAATATTGAAAAGGGCTTCTTCTTTGAGCCAGATGAGGAGCGCGGGGAGATCAAGATCTGCGATGAGCATCCCGGGTACACAAACATGGTCCGATCACAAGATGGGAAGCTGCAAAGTCTTCCCTTCGAGAAGACACAAGTGCCCCTGGAGTCCGAGAAGAGGGTTCGCGCTCTTCTCAGAGAAACTGTGCCGCAATTGGCAGACCGTCCGTTCAGCTTCGCGAGAATATGCTGGTGTGCAGACACCGCTAACCGCGAATTCATCATTGACCGTCACCCACAGCACAAATCATTGATTCTGGGATGTGGTGCTTCTGGCAGAGGTAAGACGCCACGCCATGGGCCCCAAAAAAGATGCATTTCAGTAACTAACACGCACCATTAATAGGCTACAAATACCTACCGTCCATCGGGAGTCTGATTGTCGACGCCATGGAGGGCAAAGTTCCTCAGAAGGTCCACGATCTGATCAAATGGAGCCCAGAAATCGCTTCGGATAGAAACTGGAGCGACACTCTGGGACGATTTGGAGGCCCCAACAAGGTGATGGACTTCCACGACGTCAAGGAATGGACCAATGTACAGCATAGGGACATTTCCAAATTGTAAGAATAGGTATGAGTAATGAATATCCAAAATTGACAACATTGAGCGCACAATACAATAAAATCTCTACCACAAGGGCGAGTGTCCAGAGTAACGGTACATAACAACACAAAAATCTAGGGTATCACAGAAAGAAACAGGATGGGTGAAAATGTGGCAAATGGCATCTACGCCTAAGAGGATGTAGATTCTGCAAGTTGATATGACTCCCGAGCATCCCACTGACGCGCAACAGATGCTGAGCCTGGAAGCTGCTGTTCCTCATCACCAGGCAGTTTGGAGAATCCATCTGGTCCGATGATATCGTCTCTCCCATATGGGCAGTCGCAGGTTACTGACCGAAGGGCTGGATAATAGCGTCGGTACGAGAAATAGGCTACCATCAACCCAAGTAGCGATCCACAAGTAACATCATATACATCATGGCGGTAGTCGTCCAGGCGAGAGATAGCAACTAACAAAGCGCAGAGAAGCGGAGCAAAGGCTACGAGGCAGCGACAGAGGTCGGTCCTCGGTCTGAACACGTGCATTTGACCGGAAAGGAACCTGGGTAAACGATTAGCGCTATTCTATGGGTTGTCGCGGCATACAAGCTTACAGTGACATATAACCGAGCCCACCAAATGAGAAGCTACTGTGGCCACTGGGGAAACTCCTCCATCCTTCTTGGAGGATGTGCTCGTTGGTTTGAGTACACACCGTCCATGGGACCAGCAAGTCCTTGGGGGTCCCTTTCCTTGGTAGACAGCGAGAAATTAGATCAGGGCGAGGTCGTCCAGCGGCATTCTTGATAATATCGGTAATAAGGCTCGTTAGCATAAGCGCGATGAGAAAGCCCAACAAGGTCACTTGGACCTTGTGAGGGTAGGGACGGAACACGGCTGCCCAGGCGAGGAGGATAAGGAACGGAATGACCCCAGCATAAATGATAGACCAAACTGTAAACCGATAGTAAGTATCGAGGCAAAGTCGACGTCGACAGGGCAGGTGCAGTATCTCACCGACGGGAACTCTCTCCACAACAGCGAAGGGATACTGGATACTTTTATTATCGAGGGAGAACATGCGATGAAATGGTGTCGCAAATATCTGAATCTGCAAGAGACGTCCTGATTAGTGCATGAACCACACTAGAGGCAGGTCTGAAGACGTACCAGTATCCAGGCAGCTACAATGCACGCCAGCGCGACAGCGTCGACGACCGGGTACGAGCGCTGATACAAGCGGGACATTGTGCTAGTTGCTTCTCTCACTGGAGAGCGGGGGCTTGCTGAGCCAGCAGCAAGTCCACTGCGAGGCATTTTGTGGCGCTCAGTTCGTATCTACAGCGCTCATGAGACACCAGCGAAGAGTCAGCGCCCGGCTGGATAAAGTAGTTGGTAAGTTGCGCAGCGGAGGCCGTAGTTAGTGGATGGTGAACAGGAAGAGCAAGTGACCGCCTGGCATGAGCACGGGCCAACAACACCGGACATCTCCGCATTGCGCCGACTCAACTGTCCACATTCTTTCCTGCATTCACCTCTTGATCTCGTGTCCATCGCGTGCTACCAATTACTCCGACTCAACCATCGCACTACAGCTGTCAATTTCGCGGAAAAAGAACCATGGCTGATGCCGCACAGCAACGGACGCTCGCGACTGCCTTTGCCCCGCCGCCTCCGCTATGGAAACACTTCACGCCCGATAATCTGAAGAGGCTCGAGGAGGTCAAGAAAGAGGCATCCAAAGGTGAAGATGGGAAACCGCAGAAAAAGAAATGGTCACCTGCCGAATTGCGCGCTCTTGATCTGCCACCAGAGCTTCGGCTTCTCGTACCACCAGCGATCCCTGACACCGGTCATTACAGCGTGTTCGGAGAGCTTCAGAACGTAAGCTTTCGATCATTGCCTCGCTGTAACTCTGCTAATCACACATCACTACAGCTTTCAACTGCTTTACCGTCCCTGAAAGATCAAGGCATCACCCAGCTGTACCCGTCCTCGTCTCCGGCAGATACCGACCGTCAATCGCCCTCGGAGCCATCCCGGCCGCTCAACCACGCATACTACCTCCTCAAAATCAGCAAATCTCTCCTTTTGAACTTCCTCGAATTCGTCGGCGTTCTATCCGTATCCCCGGAGCAGTTTGAATCCAAAGTCGAGGACCTGCGCAATCTCTTCATCAACGCACATCATCTCTTGAATTTGTACAGACCACACCAAGCTAGGGAATCCCTAATCATGATGATGGAAGAGCAATTGAGTCGAACCAAGGAAGAAATTCAGCAGATGGACAAACTGAAGGCTGAGATCACGGGTGTTTTGGAACGGTTAGAAGCAGATGGCATCGCTGCGCAGTCACATCCCCAGCAGACCGACGAGGACGGCAAAAAGGACTCGGAAACAAGTCCAAAGACCATCGAAGAAGCACGGTTAATATGGGATCTTTTGGACGGGAAGATTGAAGGTTGAAGGTCTCGAATGCCGATAACCTCGTGCACATCCGGAAACCACCACGAGGGAGCTATTAGCTTCTGCTACATCACCTGCCATTCTACGGTTCAGATGCAGATCAGGACCATGTCAATTCTGGTGGAAATATGACCGAATTGCGAAATCTACGAGCTATACGTCTATACTGTCGCGACCAAGTCTGCACTGAGACCGCTCAACGAGGGCCGGCGATCAAGCCAAATACAGGTACATTCAGTTCCACAGTGACCAATGTCCGAGCATCCAAACATTACATACGCGCTTCACTGGCACCACAGACCGGAAAGCATCCACTTTTCGATACCCATAAATTCCACACTGCGGTCGGGAACAACATGGTTCCGTGAAGATCACGTGCGGCGCTAACGGCGCGCGTTTAAATTCCCACCAAATTTTCTCCCGCAACTTTTCTTCACGCATACAACAAGAAGATTCGACAATGGCCAAGCTAGTCTTCGAGGACTGAGCGGTATTGCAAAGCTTAATGATGCTTCACATGCTGCTCAATCCTCTGGATCAACATTTTGGTCTAATTGTCATTCACAAGACTATTTGGTAAGTCGAGCAATATGTCTCCTACTCTGGCTTATATGATGATTTGCGTATTATCTTTGTTTCAACCCCATCTGAAAGTACAAAATGTACTCTTTGATTATAACTGCGCATATAATATCTGAAATAAGCTTTACTGCTTTTGTTGCTTTGCTTGCAATCACAAAAGAATGTTTGAACTGTCTTGCTGACTTTGTTCAAGTTCTAGGTTTTTCACTTATATTACTATCATGATAATCCATATAAATATAATATTTCTGAAACCGAAAAATTTTCTCCTCGTAAACAAATATAAAAGTCCTCTATACAATGTAGCCATTCGCGTCCGCTTACCCATATTCCATAACACACCCAATGTTGAATCCCTCCTTGGGCGCCCCCTAACAGTCATCCCTTCCAAAAACAATATAACCAAACGCCAAGCCAAGTCTTCTCTAACTGTATAAACCCTGTACCCCCACCCATAGAGCATAAATAATCCCATATATGAACCCATTCTTAACCAGAACGCTCATGCCACGCTTTCTCAATCGCACAACTAGCCAGTCTATGCAACTCAGCCACAAAATCCGCAATCATCTTGATATGCACGATTTCATTGACTGAGGACGGTTGGCGCAGGAAAATCCTTTCCAGCATACTCATTGCCGTTTTGAGTAGGCCGAGATCTTTGGTGGCCTGGGGATCGGAGGGGTTTTGGAGGATGTTGCAAAAGATGGCTAGCAGGGCGGACATGGGGTAGAAGATGAGGGTCCTGAATATATCGTTGTTAGTTAAGGGTATCGGTGAAGAGGTTTGGTGGGGAGGAAGAGGAACGTACCAGAATATACCGTCAATCAGGACATGTTCTGATGCTTGAAGGTAGAGTAGTGTTGAACGACTGGCTTCGACGGACAGAGCTAAGCTGGAGTTGACGCCGTGCATGATTCCACCTTCTTCTTTGGACCAGTCCCTGCATCGACCACTGGCTTGGTGGATGATTGTCATGCAGAGGTGGTAATTTAGTCGCAGTATGACTGAATGCATGTTGGCGTTTGGGTCGGGCGTTTCTTTCACAAAGGATAATGTAGGTCGCCATGCTAGAGGTATCGACAGTCTCCATTTTTCGAGCTCGTCGTCCAGTTCGCGGATTTCCTTCAGGATCTCGGCGTCCGTTTTCTTCAGACCTTTGAAAGAGTACAGGGCGTTGTAGGCTCGAGCCTTGATTATACTCAGGCGGATGTCCACTGGGAAGACTGGATCTTCGGGCATGTCTTCTGGAGGTATTTGCCGGCAGTCGAGCGGGAAGTTGAAGAGATTCTCACTGTAACTGGCGGGTATTGTCAAGTCACAGTTATCTTCCGTAAATAGCTGGGGCTGTCCAGTCCGAAGGGACACATCTTTTTCAATGGTGTAACCAAGCCAGAAGAGATATCGGATTTGTCTCTGTGACCTCATGGCGATCTCGTTTTGCGGCGTCTCCGGATCTTCTGGCATTGAACTAGTAGTGTGTCCACCCAATACGAAAACCATGCGTGCTGCAATTGAACCGTAGTAGCTGGCTGACTGTAAGTTGCCGGTTACTAGCTCGAAGAGTGACTATCAATGAAGTCAGCGAATGAGAAAGTATTTCTAGAGACTTGGGATGTGTGGTTCTAGAGCAACCAAAATCTAAGGGCACAGAGGCCAAGCGGGCTTAGAGGATTAGGACTCACCATCATCGATATCACCTGTAGCCCCTCCACCGAAGCAGACTCTTGCAAAACCTGAGGCACTAAGCATTGTGCCCTCGTGAAGTAGGTCTCACTGTTAAGAGGGGCAAGCTTTCGGAACTCATGCTCGAATTCAAGAGGTGGTACTAGAGAGGTAAAGGCAGCAAAGGCAAGCACACATGCCTTGGTGCTCACTTTTCCATACGGAAGCCTGGTTCGTGGTTGCTGATAAGCGTTCTCAATAGTCTCCTTGAAAAGGACAGGATCCACAACTGGAAATATACGCCTTACGAAGGACATACAAAACAGCCTGAAGTAAGTGTCTATAACGTTTCGATCAGGCAGCTCGAATACGCTTTCGGGATGAGGATTCATCGCCAGCGCATTGGATGTTAATGCCCGTTGTCTTTCCCACAGCGGCTTGCTGGAACCGACTAACTTGCTGAGCGCAATATTCTGTCCGGTCCGTGATTGAACCCATTGTTTGCCCTCTGGGAGCAGTAACGGAATGCCCGTGAACAGGTTGATGCATCCCAACTCGCGACCTGCGAAATGTAGAGGTACCGAAGAAGAACCCGACTTCTCATTGAAAGTCGAAGATTCTCTCGAAAATTCGTGGGTGTATTCAGAAGAACGCGACCCTATAGGAGACTCATGATAATCCATACTAGGTGGTGTTGCAGAAGGAGCTGTGTATGTTAGTAGATGGAGATTAGACACTGACCCGGCATACTGACTAGGCTCTTTGAGAAGGTTCTCCGTAAGAAACTTTTCTATGCGCTCAATTCGCTCAGCCAGCCCGGACGTTTCTTTCTCTCTAGATCAAGATACATTGTCAGATGAGGCTCCAGCAACTATCTTCTTTAGTAGAGGACAAGCGTTATACCCTTTTGTATCGCTCTTGGCTTTACGCTTCCGAGTAATGACCCGGTTAAAGGTACATGGAATGTCATGATGACTGCACCAATTACACTGAGGCACAGCCGCATCACACTTGATCTACAGATGGTCAAAAATTTACTCCGAAGCACGTTCAGAGAGCGAGACCGACCTTTCTTTTGTAGCATGAATCGCAGGCCCTCGATATACGCTTCCTATGCTTCTGGGAGTCTTCTTCCGACCTGTCAGCAGGTGCCGGAGAGTGATACATGTTATGTGACGTCCGCAAGGAACATATATGCCGTAGTAGATCAGTAGTCTTGAAAGGAGAAGGCAATAGCAAGGAGATAGGAAGCTGACGGATGTGCCGAAGGCGACAAGCTTCCGACCCGCTGACAAACACGCAACTGTGGGCCGGAATTACCTGGTTAGTAAGCGGACATAAGGATGGTCCGGACCCAATCTTCCGACAAGAATAGCAATCAGTAATCTACACAACGTTGCAAAATTCATTTCACGTCACTCATAAATTCGTAAGTCCTAACTTAACAGTCATGTTATACACAAAGAATTGAACTGCACTGGATCTACCAGTAGATCAGTGTAACCGTCTTCACAGGCAACATTAGGCCTCTATCACGACCTGCTCCTCCTCCTCATGCAACAGGTCTGCCTCGATAGCACGTCTACGAGCCTGTTCTGCTTCGCTCGAGTTATCCTTGAAGACCTGATCCATCTCTTCCAGAGACCTGCCCTTTGTCTCAGGGACGAAGAAGAGTGTCCATACGAAGGCCAGCGAACAGAAGACTGCAAAGAATACGTAGGCGCCGTATCCGGTATCTTCAACAAGCGGCGGCGTGATCAAGCCCTAGTAAACATTCGTATTAGTACTGCCCTGTATCTTGCTGTTATTTCAAGGTTGACTCACAATAATAAAGTTGTTCAGCCAGTTAGAGCAGGTTGAGAGGGCCACACCCTTGGCACGGAGAGAAGAAGGGAAGACCTCTGCGATAAGTTAGACACGCGTGGCATCTCAACGTTGATTGGGGGCAGATACTTACCAGCTGGCAGCGCCCATCCTACTGGACCCCATGAGCCACCAAAAGCAACCATATATAAAAGTAGAAGAGCGACGCTGGCCCAACCCTGTGCGCGATGTGCGGGCCAGTTGTCGGAGTAGAGGCCAACCAAGACGGCCACGATGATATGGCAGATTGCCATGATAGCTACACCCCAAAGCAGAAGAGCCCGACGACCGAATTTATCCATGGTGGGAATACTGGTGATCACACCCACCAGCTGTCCCACGTTCACGATACCCGCCATCAGGAGTTGCATGCTGTAGTCTAGACCCATCGTCTCGAACAGTGTAGGTGCGTAGTAAATGAGGGCATTGATTCCAACGAACTGTCCCCGAATTTATTAGTTGCTTTCCGGGATGATTTTCTGAGGCATCTTGCTGCTCACCTGTTGGAAGAACATCATCATGACACCAATGTGCGTTCTCCGCCAGCAACCCTTTTTGAAGCAATCGGCCCAGCATGCCAGATCGAGCAAGATTGCATTCTTGATTCCACCACCTTGCAGATTGGGGTGCTTTTCTGCGTTGAGTTCCTGATGGAAGCGAACCTCGGCTTTGATGTCCAGAAGCTCCTGTCGGACGCGCTTATCGGATGGAGGCAACTGACGCAGCTTCGATAGACTCTGAAGAGCCTCCTGGACCCTTCCTTTAGCAACAAGCCATCTTGGAGAGAAAGGCAGTACAATAACACCCGCCGATAAGATGAAACCCGGGATCAACTGCAGCAGGAAGGGAAGGCGCCACGCCCACTCTCCAGACATGAACCTAGTACCATAGGTGATCCAGTATGCAATGACGATTCCAAGAACGATGAACAATTCTTCCATGACCAGAAGTGTACCACGGCACTCGGGAGGACCTATTGAAAATTACAGGTCAGCTGACGCTCAATGTACAAGTCATGAAAGCAGCCCGGTATGGAACAGTCATCATACTCACTAATTTCGGAGATATACAAGGGAGCCACCATTGACAGCATACCAATCCCCACACCACCAATCAGTCGTGCGACAGTCAACATGGCATAGTCAACCGCTGCTGTCTGCAATACTGATCCAACCGTGAAAATGCAAACTGCGACGATGATCGAATAACGGCGAGAGATTTTGTCCGCGATCCAACCCTGGTTCATGGCACCAAGGAATGCTCCTAGCTCGATCATTGCTGTCATCAAACCTTTCCAAAAGCCGGAGTTCACCTCGGGGAAACGCTCCAAGAATTGGTCCATAACCAGAATGACCGAGACTACACCTTGATCATACCCAAATGTGAGACCTCCCAGCGTCGAGCAAGCAGCACACATGAGGACGAATGGGTTTGCTATGAGTCCCCTAATACCTGGGGGTCCATAAGGTTCCCTTTCGGGGAGAGGGTCCTCTGCATGGTGAGCAATGCCCCCCTGGATGGATGAACGACCATCCGGGGACAGCTCCTTTGTAGGATCTATAGGCTTCTTATCCATCATGGGATATGAAAAAGGGAGTAAAAAAGAGGAGAGATGATTGATTTCAAGGAGAAGAGGGATGGGTGTAGGCCCAGCTTGATCGCAAAAGCGATGCCTGTTGTCGCTATTGAGATAGCGCGTGAGTAGATTTACAGTTGATTGACCAAGAAAGCAAAGAGGAGACGCGAGTTATACCGCAGCTTATATAGATACATCAATTGACTACAATTAACCCGGCCAGCCAACCAGAAGGAACCAGATGCCCAAGGAAATCAAGAGGCCGGGAAGCGACATGATTCGCAGTGAACAAGCACGGTAGGATTCGGACGATTCCATAGCCATGAAGCAGAAGGGGGGAGAAGAAAAGAACCCTAAGCTGCGATCTGCAGGCCAATGTCGAATCGTAATGTCTGGGTGAAAGTGGGCCGGCGGGCGGAGACCGTCAGGGAAGTGTGAGAAGTGGAGGTGGTGAGGCCAAAACTGTGGTCCGGTTTAGCGTATCGCAGTCACCCTGGTTCGAATCCACTAGAAAAGCGCAGGCATGGGATGGAACTACATGGAAGAAAAGCCGGTTTGGCTCTTAGAGAGAGCAAACAATTTCTTTCAATTCAGAGGATATATAGCAATCTTGACAAGCTCACCAAGATTTAACCTTGCATGTCATGTCTGATACTTTGTGACTAGATGATTCGTTTGGTTTCCCGATTGAGGAAAGCAGAACATCCCGTGACAGCAACACGTGCGGACATCACCATCTCGCATTCCGGCCAGATGAGCGAATTGACGAAAGTCTCACTCTGTCTCACCCAGTTTTAGTGCCGGAGGAAAGCCGTCCTGTCTGGGAATCGGTTGTCTCCCAGCTACTTACTACTGTGGTACAGAATACAAACCCCAGGATTACCTTTAGGATGGCTCCGCATCCGCATGGCTACCGGCCCGCTATTAAACGCATGGTCGAATGAGCTGGACGCATGAGATTTCCCCAATATATGCTCGATAAGACACCCCATGTCCTCGTCATCGTACTTCAACACAGCCGTGGATCATATACTGACATCTTCATGGATGATGCCTCTTCAGTCTGCCAATCACAAGGTTTTCTGGGATGTCCGAAAGCGGGTGCAGGAGGTGGTGCCGCAGGAGCTACTACCAGCATTTACTCAGTACTACATCATCTTAAACGGCGGAATGCGGCAATCGAAGCGGAAGCCATCAGGTCGAAAGCCGATCAGCGGTATTTGATAGATGGGCCAATCCAAGGGAAGGTTAACCAAAGTAGCCGTGTAGGTTACCGGAAGAAGATACATCCAGTTGTAGCTTGACTTGGCTTGGGGATGTTCGGGCCCAAAAACCCAAAATGCGCGCTTTCTTATTTAGCAGGATAGGTATACATTAATGAAGGAACATTATCACTGCGTATCCGTCGTGAGTTGGGGATCGGTCATTCCGACCATCCAGCGGTCATGATCATGAGAGATCGATGCCTGAAGGGAAGAGTCCCGTGATGATAAACCGGGTATTTCACACCCATCGCTGCCTTAAGTAGTAACTTAAGTAACTTAGTAGTAACGTTACGGCGAAAAGAAAGGGCAGCTGCCCCTCCGTCGGGCGGGCGTGACGTGACGCTCTCCAAACTCACCCCCCAGAAAGAGTCACTCCCCTTCAATATCTTCATTCCTTCTTTTCCTCCCTCTCGATAGCCCACCAGCTTCTCATTTTTACCTCCCGTGTCTCTCTCTCTCTCTCGATAATCAGCAGCTGTATCTCTCCCCACGGGGATTTAAACTTCACCATTAGCTCCTGGCAAATCGGCCTAGGATCCAGTTCCCGTTCTCCTCTTTTTCCCCACCTTGATCCTCGACTCAAACGCCGACCGTCTGCCTGCTTCGGTCGACTACCGGTCGTCTCGTCCTACCTTCCCATCTGCATCCCCTCTTCTCCCCTCCAAACGGCATTTTGTTTTTGGCCACCGGTCCGCAGTTGCGACTGAGATCCCGGTTTGCTGCATAGTTTGTCATCCTCGATCCCCGACATCCCGGCGTTGCTAACAGGTTGTTGCACTATCCGTCCACAGGGACAGAAGAAAAACTCAATAACAACAACAACAACGGATTCCAGTTTCCGACATCAACGTCATTCCACAGTTCCCCTACCCCAGATCCGCTTTCTGTGACCCCAAGTCTCCAGCCATTCCCCGCAACTAGCCGCAATCGCGCGTAATCCGAAATTATGGGCTCGTTTATGGAGGACCTCTGGTCTAGCATCTTTACCCCGGGTCCCACCCCCTCCCTCCTCATCGCGACCAACGTCACCTTCGCTGCCCTTCAGGCTCTCCTGTTCGCCCTCCTCCTCGCCACGTATAGCATCCACTTTTTCGTCCTGTCTATCTTGTCCGGCGCCCTATGGTGGTCCATCAACTGGTTCGCTCAGGAGCTTAGGCAGGTGCAAGCTGAGGAGGCGGAGAAAAAGCAACAATCGGAAGAGCTTGCAGAGAGCCAAGCCAAGTCAGACGGCAGTCGGAAAACCCCGGCGACTCTCGACAGTGCCGGGAGCGATACGGAAACAGAACTTCTAACGGAGCACAAGGGTGCTGCTGCCACCGCTTCCGCTCCTCGTTCTCTTGCTGCATCGGCAACACTTCGGCCACCGGAGGAACACGGCGAAGTTCGGAAGCGCCTGAGCGTCAGCGGTGAGAGCTCCGGTTACCAAAGCACCGATAGCGAGTGGGAGAAGGTAGATGACGGTAAGGCGGCCTAGGCGTACACGGGATTGGATCATTGTCAGGGATTGTTAGTACATCAGCCTAGGGGCCCGTGTGGTGTCCCGACTTATTTCTTGACCATCCTGCGTCGGACATGGGCCGATACGGCTTCGTTGCCATACACCATTTCCGTCTGTCCCATATAGATACCAGAGAGGCATTCTGTTTGCTGCACCGGCAAGATACCCTATAGATGACTGATACATGCCGGGCAATGGAATGAAATGTAGACCTGTTACTTGATACTTTGATGGTCCAGCAATACAGTATAGCATGACCAGGTTGGTGGCCGCGATCTTTCTTGCTTCACTATGAGTTCTAGCAGCAAAGTCCGGCGGCAAAGCTATAAGCCCAGTCTCACATGTAGTCCGGATATCCCTTTGCCCGCTCACATGAAGGGGGTGCGTGTTGTTGATATCTCATGCACAGTTTTGACCCCCGCTTTCAAGCTGCATGGAGACCCCGCCGGAGCACGATAGGATTGACCAATCTAGACTTGCCTGTAGATATGAGAGAGAGTTGAGTATTGCTGTGCTACTGAGCAAAGGTCTCGACTCATAAATTGTCTATCACCTGACTAGGAGGATGTACACCATGGCCTTCTCTGAACCCACACTGAGAACGAGGTTTTGTAGATGCATGCAGAAGGTGCTGTATTTGCCTGGTTGGTCAATTTGGGCATTCTCGGTTCTTTGCTTCCTTCTCAAGGACACGAGAGCATCATAGCGAGTTTCAGTAAAATGCTTGATGCTGTATTGATAGCACCTCGTTATATATAATCCAACTACAAATGAGATTGAGAATGCTGGTAGCATCAACAGTTTTCACAAACTGCGAGATACTGACCAAACTAAACCTATGTACTATATTTAATAGATACAAAGCAGCATTTATGCAGGCGGAAATCAAGGCCAAAGCTAGCTCTATATATTCTGAAGCTCCTCTATGCAATGCATCCCGCTGATTGCACATTTTCCTCTTTCGGAACTCTTATCGATAAGCATGTTGATCAGATGACTAAGCACATTATCCATGATGGTGCCAAACACCGGGCATCAACAAACACCCCTCAAGCCATGGCACCCTGGTGAAGGAGTGCTCTCAGACGCGACTCATCCAGATCAATGATGGAGTGAGCCATTGCTGAACCGCCAACATGCCATCCACAACCACAACCATCCACACCAGTCGCCGACGCGTCTTCAACTCCGTCCTCCCCTCCGCGTCCCTAGAAGATTTCCCATCCGCCGGCCTCGCAATCGGACCTACAACCTCCACTCTCTTTCCGAATTTCTCCTCCGGCACGAAAACCCGCGATAGCAGCTCGCAGTTTCGATCTTCAATAACGTCAGATAAAACCGATATTGACGAGCCATGGATGGACCAAGCGACATTGGACCGCGCTTGGCAGGTTGCGACAAAGTTCCTTGCCATCCCGGATTGCGGGTTCGATATACTCTACCGATATGAGGATATAGGAGAGGCGAAGTTTCTGCGCTTGACGAATCGCGACAAGAAACCTACACGGGAGGTGATGGACGCCCTCGAGTACTTGATGAAGCCTTTTACAATGGGTTTGGATGTAACGGAGGATATGGCGCAAAGGAATATTCTGGATTGGTATGCATATGAGATGCGGAGGCACTTTCTGAAGAATTTCAGGGGTGGGCTGTATAAGGTAGGACTCACATCGAAAGCTGTCTCCAGCTATGTGTGGTACTGATCGTGGAGTATGCAGCTTCTGAATTATCCCCAGAAAGAAAGGTTGCTACATAAGATCGTGGACTGCCTGCAGCTGGCAAGGAGGATATACTTTTCGCATTTGATGGAATACTTACTGCCGCTTCTCGATACTTCCGATCAAGAGCCTATGTTCGTCAAGCTCCGGACGTCGTTCCACATGATGGTCGCTTATGCGTTGCCGTGGTCGTTAAGGTCTACGTTGCTGACACATGTTATCACTACGGAGGCTTTGGTTATCCTGGGAATTGATACTCTGGGTGAGGAGAGAGATGATGAGTCAGGGAGCGTTGATGATATGGAAGTCGATCGGCAATTCTCCGTCTCGTACCAGGACTGGCGAAATGAGCCCTCTGTCGAGGCCAGGATGAGCCTGATGGCTGGAGAGGATGCGCGTGTTAGTGCGTCTCGAGAGGTCCTTCTGGTGCTCTTTGATGGGCTACAGATGGTTGGCATGGGCGGCGACAAGGCGCAGAAGGTCTTTGCTAGTGTCATGGATACCATGCTGAGCGAATTCATTCGAGCGGCATACACCGGACAATGGGAAGGGCCTTCACTAGTCGTCCAGCATTTACGGCACTGGATTGAGAACGTGTTCGCGCGGCTGGTCGTCCAAGTCCTAGCCATAATTAACACTCCAGAGTCTGGGATCAGGGAACCGGATAGTCTCGATGTGAATCTGAGTGATGTGGAGAAGTGGCAGGAAATTGGTATTTCTCGCCTTGGGGCTCTCCGGGTAGGCGAACTCTTTGATATCATTGTTGAGTGGCCTGCGAGCAGTGGAGCTATCGAAGATTTACGGCACTTTACTACGTATCCGGCAGCACGATCCCATCTAACGCACTCTTTCATTGCCGTTCTCAACCAGCGATTGTTGCACCCAGGTGCATCTACTGTCGAGATTCTGCAGGTGTATATCTCCATTATACGGGCATTCAACCTGCTAGATCCCAAAGGCGTGCTTCTGGACCGGATTGCTAGGCCCATTCGCAGATACCTTCGCGACCGCGATGACACCGTCAAGGTCATCGTTGGCGGGCTCTTGTCTGACCCGGCCGATGCTGATGGACAAACTGCTTCTCACACGGACACACTGGTGGAGTTGTCAGCCGAACTGACCAAAGCACACCAGAACTCGCTGCGAGCTGATAGCGGAGAACTCGACTGGGATGATATGAACTGGGTTCCCGACCCGGTCGACGCGGCACCAGACTATCGGAAGTCGAAGACGTCCGACGTAATTGGAAGCCTTATCAGTCTCTTCGAGTCCAAGGAGATGTTCGTCAAGGAGATGCAGAACATGCTGGGCGAGCGACTACTACAGAAGCGCGCCGACTTTGACCAGGAGTTGTCCGTTCTGGAGCTTCTCAAGGTACGCTTTGGTGACAATGCCTTGCAAGCCTGCGAAGTTATGCTGCGGGACATCTTCGACTCCCGCCGCGTTGATGCAGTTATACGCAATGATCAAGGATTGAGCGGGACGCGCAAGGCAACGCAACTGCCAGTTACTCCTGATGGCAGACGAGCAGCAGAGGATGACGAAGAGATGCCAGAGCTTCACGCCAAGATCCTCTCGCACTTCTTCTGGCCTGAGATCCAAGGGTTGGAGTTTAATGTTCCGAAGGATATTTCCTCGCTCCAGGAGCGGTACGCGCAAGGGTTCGGATCGCTGAAGCAGTCGCGCAAGCTCACCTGGTTGAACGGACTCGGACAGGTCACTGTGGAGCTGGATCTCGAGGATCGCGTGTTCATGGACGAGGTTACTACCTGGCAAGCCACAGTGATCTACGCCTTCAATTCGTCGTCGGACGAGGCCGTGACTAAGACAACGGATGGACTCGCCAGCGAACTCGGTATGTCGACTGCACTCGTGCGCAGCGCATGTCTCTTCTGGGTAAGCAAGCGTATTCTCGTGGAAACACAGCGGGATACATTCCGAGTCCTGGAGGCCCTTCCGCGCGAAGAGGGCGATGCATCAAGCGGAGAGCCTGGGTTACCTGGAGCAGGTGATGCAGAGGACCAGTCAGCAGAATCAGCACAAGCAGCAGCCGAGGCAGATGCAGCTGCGGCAGCGGCAGCGAAGGAGACGGCCGAAGCGGCGGCGATGGAGAAAATGAATCTGTATTGGCAGTTTATTGTGGGCATGTTGACCAACCAGGGCGCAATGCCACTGCAACGGATCGTGATGATGCTGAAGATCGCTGTTCCGGGAGGATTCCCATACAGCAACGAGGAGCTGCGAGAGTTTCTGGCCGGGATGGTGTCAAAGGGAAAGCTGGAGATCATCAGCGGAGGCAGCTACAAGATTGTGCAGTGATTGCATATTATGTCTATCCCATAGGAGGCAAGCTTGTATGAATTACGAATCATGAGGTACATGAGGTATAGCAAAACTCTCATAACTAATTTAACATGGTATTGAAGCTAAACGTACACATTACAGACATGAATATCATCGAGTCGTTTGGACCCGTTACTCAGCATCCAAAGGAGCCACCGGGGCCTGGTCATCGACCTGGATACCACCTCTCTTCTTCTCATTGCTATCCCAGAACGGCAGCTTCCATCCGCCCTCGCTCTCCGGCGTGGCCAACCACAATCGCATGAGATGGCGTCTGGGCGTAGGCGGGGCGTGATCAACATAGGCCGTGCGTGCATGCAGCACATGGGAGTTGGCCAGGAACTGAATATCGCCGACTTCAAGGATCATGTGTAGTTTGACGCGGTTGCAAGTCGCCTCAAGGACCTCCAGAGCTTCAACCTGAGCAGCCGAAAGCGGAGGGATGATTCCAGCGTCGGAGAAGCGAGTGAGAGAGCGCACATAGTAGGGGTCCCACCTGCACAAGTATCAGCACAGTCCTTCACTCATCGAACCATCGAAGACAATTGGATACATACTTGGTATAAACGCGAGGGTTCTCCCCACGCTCCAGATAAACAACACTCGTCTTGATATACTCCTCCTGTCCCGTGCTCGTCTCTCCCTTCCGGTCAAAGTACCAGATCGGCTCCGTGAGGGTCTTGAGCACATCCGGGCGCTCCTTCGCCAGGACGTTATAGACGTTGTGCGAGGAGCACAGGTCAGATTCACCGCCCTCCCTAGCGCGGTGGATGCAAAGCAAGCCAACGATATCGGAGTCGTCCGCGTGGAAGAATTGTCTACACAATTAGCTACCCTCTCCATAGATGGCACAGAAGCATGAGCTGGCATGTGATACGCACCTAGCATTCGTGCGATAAATCCGCACAGAATCAATCTGCGTCGGGTCTTCACCCAGATCCTTCACATGGCCGAGCACATGGCCCCGACTGTTCTGGCTAACAAAGTACCCGAGGTACGTGCCGAGACCCATGTACGCGACAGCAGACTTGTGGTTTCCCCACTTCTCAACAGGGAAGCCCTTGAAGAGGATGAATCCCTTGCCGTCGAGGAGGTCGGCGCGGAGTTCGTGCAGGCGGGCGGCTAGGTTGGGGAGGGGGAAGTTGCTCTGCCAGCATCATCAGCACACTTACCCTACCTACAACGACCATACACCAA